TGTCAGCGTCTCTCTCCCCCAGCGTCTGTCAGCGTCTCTCTCGCTCCTCCCCGATACCCCCCTCCAGCGTTGGTCAGTCAGTACTACTAAGCCCCCTCCTTACCTTTATGTCCAGCAGCTGTGCTCCACTGCTGCTGGGTTAAAGTAAGTTTCGGTCAATGTAAAAAAAACAAAAAAACCTTCCTGCGCACACGTGCTCAGGAAGGTACCAAGTGCACAGGGGGGGCCGCGACCTTAAAAACTACACTACACTGCAAATTATACATTAAACTGAAATAAAACAATCTAGCTTGGAGCCCAGACCTCCTCGGGGCCCCTCACACAAGTACCGGCCATACCCCCCTGATGGCGGTCCTGGCCGGGGACTCTGATTGCGACCGCCCTGTTCACTTGCGGGACCCCATATGGGGTCGCAACCCACACTTTAAGAAGCACTGCTTTAAAGCAGTGGTTCTCAACCTGTATAACTTCAGGACCCACATTTGTCCCTGGTCATTAAGTCATGACCCAAGTCGCACTGCACTAGAACGTGCGGCATTGCGGTACCACTCGTTCCGGTGTGGGCGATCGAACTGTGGGTTGGAGGTGTGTTTGGGGTGCCATTCAAATAAATGGCAATGCAACACACCTCCCACACCAGAAATCACGGTACGTGCGATTTTGCGTGGTACAATGCGTTAATTGCATGGGACTATACTAGTGTGAACAGGCCCTGGAAAACACTGACAGACACACACAACCACAGACACAATCTCACACACTCCGACATCCTCACACACACATGCACAATCCTTTTTTTTTTTAAAGATCCATCCAGTCTCCTTATCTTACGAGAACTGGAGTGGATACTCAGCCTGGTGTCCTGTGTGGGCTGCTGTGCTGTGATGGAGCACCATCTATACATGCATTTTGGGTACAGCTCCCTTGCGTGCCCTGTAGAGGTGCCGGGAGTTAAAATCTGACGCCACTCCAGTCCAGGCACCTCTACAGGACATGTGAGGGAGCTGTAAGCAATGCACTTATGTATGCTCCCTGCAACCATCCCATTCCACCTCAAACTGACATTCAGCAGCAGGCCGCATATTTTCAATGGCTGCTTGACGTGAGAACTGTGCTATGGGGAGGCTGAGGGGGCTCTCACCTAGAAAACGTGAAGGCATGCGGTAACCCACTGAAAAGGGGGTCGCAACCCACCAGTTGGGAACCAAGGCTTTAAAGGACTTCTCGATTTCTCAAGACAACACAGCCCATCATGCATTGCTTCCAGTAAGCAATGATAGTGTTACATTGTTCAGACGTTGAGTTGTAGTTTAGGCTCTGTGAGTGGTGACACAAATGGAAATGCATATTCACAAGGCTGAGTGAATTGAGGCAGTACATCCTATGGGCATTTCCAATAAGTAAGTTTACAAACTTCTAAATGGATATGATTATTAGGAGTGGGATAGAACTTATGGAAATTCAATATAGAAATACATATTTTTATTTTTTGACCATCGACACCCTTTAATTGTTAGCTAATATCAAAACTACTGTTTTGTGCACAATGTTCCTTTTTGAAATCGTGTTCCTTTTTTCAGGAATTCTCTATGACACATACCCCCTGTCTGAAGAAACGTGGCATACCCATCAGTTCAACTTTATTAAGGTATCACATAGTATTAAATGCATTGTAAGCTGCGCACATTAAACAAATGTAATTGTTTTTTAATACATTGTGGAGAATCTGTACAGTGGGTGCAATGACGTATGGAAGTCCTCTTCTGGACTTGTGGTACCAACTAGTGACGTCGCTGGTTGCCAGGAGCTGGGCAGAATGCCGGCCAAATGTTGCTAAGACTCAGTACATACATACACATCTCCTCACCTAGCTCTTAGTAACCAGAGTGGCAGGGGAAATGTGTAAGTGGGCGGGACGCTGGCCAGAGGATTTCAGGTTGCTAAGAGCCGGGCAGAGAGATGTGTATAGCAACCTGGAATGCTCTGGCCAGCGTCCCCCCCAGCTCCTGGCATCCAGTGATGTTCCTGGTTGCCAGGAGCTGGGCAGGACACCAGGGGCACAATTTGTTGTAGCTGTAATGCCTCTGGGTGGGCACCCCTTTTACTGGACAGATCCAAATATGTATTTTTGTTTAAGATACTTGACTGTAATGCTCTTGTTAGAGTTTTTTTTAATCATTGCTTTTTCGGTATATTTACTAATTGTACTGTAAAGGGCTCAGCCAATTTATACATTTCCGCAGGGTCATGCACATCGTCTGCTCAAAGCAGGGGGTGTCCTCACATATTGTAACCTGACATCTTGGGGAGAGTTCCTGAAGAACAAATACACAGACATTGAAAAAATGTTCAAGGTAAAAAAAAAACATAGTTATACCACTTTGTGATGTATTGCTGTATTGTCTGGATATAGTTATATTGCTTACACATCTAATGCACACAATGGGGGGGATTTATTAAACCTGGAAAAGACAGAATCTAGAGCAGATGCCTATAGTAACTAATCGGCTTGTATCTTTAATTTGTTCAGTTAAGCTTTGAAAATAAAAGAGAGAAGCTAAATGGTTGTTATGGACAACTGCGCCAGATTCTGTCTGCCCCAGTTTTGTTCCCCTCACTGTGCTTCTATAGATTCCTACTCCTCAGTATTTATTTGTTTTCTGTTCCATAAAAATTGTTCCATTATGCTTCACATAACCCTTTCACTTCCTTACAGCACTAGCTGCGGGCCCTTGTAAACAGACTCCCGGCTGGACACTGGAAGCGATTTTGGTGGCTCCAAAGCCACCAGATCGCTTCAAGAGTCAAGTAAACGGAGCCCCCCCTCACTGGCTTGGCACCACTGCCCCTCCTGTAGGCTCAGGACACTCACAATGTCAGTCCCTGTATTTCATTCAGTCCCGAATGAAGCTGGAAGCGACACTGCATCACTTCCAGTTTCTCAGTTTGTCATTCCATGACTAGAGAAGCCGGGGAAGAGGCTGATCAAGGTGCTGCTCGCGGTATACTGAGACGCCACAGCTGAAGCGGATCCCGACAATTATGCCTGGATCCGCCCAGCTGCGTGACTGACAGCTGGCTCTGCCTATCTAGAGGCAGAGCCAGCTGTACCCTCCCCCGTCCGTTCCGCCAGTCAGCGCTGGCGGAGCGGGGAGAGAGGAATCCAGCCCCTCCCCTGTCACGGCAGAGAGCCGTGACAGGATCGGGAGGTGAGCGAACGCCGTTATGTGTTCGCTCACCTCCCGATCTACTGAGCCGACATGTGACCGTCTCATTGTCACAGGTCGGCTAGAACTATGAGGTGAGTGAAAAGCACTCACCTCATAGTTCTCCTTTAATTGCTTTCACATAGGGGGGCTTACAATGGCATACTGTATTGTCTGTGACAGGTCCTCTTTAGAGTGATACTGGGGGTCCAAAAGACCCCTAGTGTCACCTTTACACTCTCAATAACCTATTGAAGTGCAGATCGCACTTCAATAGCTTATTGCTGGGCTCCTGAAGCCCAGCAATGACGGCTCAGGGGCTGGAAGTGATACAATACACGTCGCTCCCAGTCCCATAGAACAGGGAGGAAATCAGTGAACGAATGTTCACCGATTTTCCTCCTCAGCTTCCTGCTGACACCTGACGAGCCTGTAGGAGGGGCAGCAGAGCCCAGGAAACACCGGGGTGGGCGGTGGGGGGTTGCAGTAGCGGCCCGTTTACCGGATCACAATAGCATTCTGGCGGCAGCTGAGCCGCCAGAATCGCTTCTACTGTAAAACCGGCCGCCGGCTCTTCAAAACTGAACAGACTCCCGGTGGAGTCTGTTTAACCCCTTCAGACTTCATGATGGGATTTTTCCATCATGGATTGTGGAGGGGTTGAGTATTAATGTATTTTTTACAGCAAACAGGGGAACATTGGGAGTTACGCCAAAACACTGCTAATATATAATATACCAATCTCCAGGGTTTCAACAGAACTTTTCAAACATCGGATTGTCCCCTAATTAAAGAAATCCCTTTCTCAGAGCTGGTTCAGTAAACAGGTATAACATGTAATTTAATCAAAAAAATGAATATTTAATCATAAAGAAACGAATATGAACAAAACTATACATCCACAACAAGACATTTAAAATCAATTAAAAAACTTCCCTTGAACAAACAGTGGTTGAAGTAACACGAAGGATCTGCAAGCCAACTAATGTGGCAAAGACCTGATTAAAGCAGATACAAGCACTGTATTACATATACGGATACAAAGTATCCAAAGTTACTCACAGCTCATACGGCTCGGGGAGAGACAGTCCTGCTCGAATCCCACAGTGCTGGATGGTTGGATAATTTTTCACTTCAGGTTAGTGTGTCCGGTGGCTGTGGTTAGGACCCAGAGAGAGGGGTATGTTGGTAGGGCTGAAACGATGTAAGCGCCCTCCCCTCTCCCCTTGCTTGGGACTCTTACTAACCCGCGGACTTCGATTTCAAAATGCAAAATATATGTGCGGCCACACAATAAACAGCAAAAGCGGTAGAGGCAGGGGTCTCCACGGTGAAAAATTCCAGGTATACTCAAAGATCCACAGGTTGTGTAGTTACCGCAAACAGTCGTCGGATCTGTTCAGTCAATCTCTGCTGGAAGGTTCCAATTCAGCTAGACTCGCACCATGTCCGAGCCGGCTGTGCTCCGTCTCCACACTTCTAAACCCAGCCGGGATATACATCTACCGGGACTGGCGTGCGGGATGAGTTATTGCGAGTGTCCAGGGAAGTGGCTGACACACGTAGCCCTGACGTGTTTCCTCCCCACACAGGGGCTTCTTCAGAGGGGCGTGTGCTGTTAACTCTTGCAAGGATGTGTTAAATAGCTAGTTAATGAGGCTAATGGACTGCCGGATATCACACAGTCAGCGGGCCATATCGTTTTTCAAAAAAAAAATATACTGATAATATTGCACATGTTTTAATATATTGTAATGGCACCTGTGGAGCCTTAAGTAGATAGATACAAATCCTAAATCCCTTTACCCACAAACAGTCACAGGTACATATATATTTAAACTGATTTATGGTAGTGGAGAAATAGCCTTTAGACATCATATAGCATCATATAAATCTATATGGGCTGAAAAGAGACTCCTGATGTGAACAAGGATGGAGCTTCGACGGGCTACTCATGGGATCATATAGGTGGTAGTGAATAATTACTGCTGTTACAACTTTAATCGGCACATATGTTTCAGAGTCATATAAAGATATACAGGTGCGGAAAAGTAAGTTGTAACAGATAACCCAACATGGGGGTTCATACCCTAGTAAAAACCCATAATATTGTGTCACCAGTCCAAACTCAATCACAAGGACCATCAGGAGTCCTCTACACACTCCAAAATTATATATATGGACAATCCGGTACTCAACTGACAGGAATGTAACTACAATAACCCTCTGTCAGAGGCAACCGGTTTGTAGCTTAGGGAAGAAAAATATACTTAAATTTGTCGACTTCAATTATTAGAGCAAGAAGCATTATGTTTAGTGTACATATGGTTTCAGATATAACAACTAAAGTTAATCATATCATTAAGACCTGGCGCCTGATGAGCCTCCGTCTGATGAATCCACCTGCACTCTCTCTGCAATAGGGTTTTATCCCAATCCCCCCCACGTCTGGGTTGATGGACCCTATCCAAGGCAAAAAAGCGAAGTCTGTCGATACTTCCATTGTTGGTGTCTACAAAATGTCTAACTATGGGGGACCTAATGTCTCTAGCTGCTATATCCGACAAATGGTCAGATATTCTGTTCTTGAGCATGCGTTTGGTTTTTCCCACGTAAAACATGTCACAGTGACAGAGCATCAGGTAGATAACACCCCTGGTCTCACAATTGACAAAATGGTGAGCCTTGAAGTTCTTACCTCCAGGGGTGGATATCTCCGTCCCAGTCTGGACGTATCGACAGAATTTGCACTTCTGGCATTGGAAGGTGCCCTTGTATTTGCAACAGGAAGCAGGCCTACTCACAAAGTCACTATTGGTCAATTTGTCCTTCAAAGAGGGGCATCTTCGGTAAGTAATGGTGGGTTTAATGCCCACAAACCTCGAGATTCTCGAATCTCTGGTCAAACAATGCCAGTGTTTCTGAAGAATCTTTAATATTTGTGCATGTTGGTTGTTGTAGGTTAAAATTAGTCTTACAGGGGAATCCTCTCTACCATTTTATTTAATTTAATTTAGATGTATTTATATTGGTGTTGTTGGATTTCCTAGGTCCACTTTTTACACGTTTGTAAGATTTTTTAAATATTTTGTTCGAGTAGCCCCGGGCCCTTAGCCTGAGTCTTAAATTGTGTGCCTCTCTTTCAAAGTCTTCATCATTAGTGCAATTTCGTCTGACTCTCAGGTATTGACCAAAGGGAATACTGTTTTTTAGGCAAGAAGGGTGGGCACTATTGGCTTCTAAGATGGCATTGCCTGCTGTGGCTTTTCTATATAGACTGGTGTAAAGGGTCCCTTCAGCATCTTTGCACACTAGAACATCTAAAAAGGGTAACCTATTGCAGTCATGGGTGAAGGTAAATTTTAGATTCAGATCGTTAAAGTTTAATATGTCAACAAAGCCTCTCAAGAGGTCCATGTCCCCTGTCCACAGCAAGAGGATGTCATCTATGTACCTGTGCCATGACAAAACATGGCACAGGTACATAGAAAGGTCCTCTCTAGCCCAGAGATCCTGCTCCCAACCCCCCAGATACAGGTTAGCGTAGGACGGTGCACACTTAGTCCCCATGGCTGTTCCCTGTAGTTGTAAATAGTATTGACGGTTGAAAAGGAAGGCATTGTGGGTCAGGACGAATTCCAGGAGTCGCACTAGGAAAGCATTGTGCGAGCTTTCTGTAGTCCCCAGGGTAGCCAAGAATCTTTCAGTCATTTTTAGCCCCTTGGAATGTGGAATAGAAGAATAGAGGGCTTCTACATCGAGGCCTACCAGTAGGGTGCCCGGGGGTACTGTCAAGCCCTGTATCTGAGAAATCAAGTGTAGAGTGTCTCTGACAAAAGAAGCCAGTGATTCTACATGAGGTTTAAGGAAATAGTCAACATATGAACTGATATTCTCCGTCAGCGACCCACACCCGGAGACTATAGGCCTCCCGGGGGGGTTTTCCAAAGATTTATGTATCTTGGGAAGGGCGTAGAGAACCTGCGTTCGTGGAAAGGGCACCCTCAGAAAATCCAGTGTGCCCTTGTCTATGAGGCCAAGATCCAAAGCCTCCTGCAGTAATATCTCAAGATTCCCTTGGAAAGATTTAATTACAGTGGGTTCTATAGGACGGTACCAGGTGATATTTTCCAAAATCCTTAAAACCATCTCTGTGTAATGTTCATTGGTCATAATGACCACGTTGCCACCCTTGTCTGCCTGCTTTATCACTATACTTTTATTGCTTTTAAGATCTTCCAGGGCTATTCTCTCCGGAGGGGAGAGGTTATCCTCCTTAATTCTAATGGACACCCCTTTCTTTATCTCCTCACTCACCCTTTTAACAAAATCCCAGATATTGATATTCTGCGTCAAGGGCGGAAACGTCTTTGACTTTCGTTTAAAGTGCTGTTTGGTAGGAGGGGCCTCAGATTAATCTTCCTCCTCATCGGAGATGTGCCCCTCTTCCCAAAGCTCCTGTAAGTCTCTGAGTGCCCTGTAGTCCTTCCTTGAAAAATCATTCCAATCTTCAAGGATGCCACCCAGGGGTAAACCCTCCTTATCGTGCACCTGCTTCAGTAGAAGCCTGCGCGTGAAAAGGTTGACGTCCTTGATGATTTCGAACCTGTCCGGTGTTATACCTGTTTACTGAACCAGCTCTGAGAAAGGGATTTCTTTAATTAGAGGACAATCCGATGTTTGAAAAGTAATGTATTTTTTACTGAAATTTGAGGTTTGATAAAGAGCTTCTCTAATATCATGTGGCATATAAATTTGCAACTGCCGCCAGTTTATTCTACAGGGTCTCTGCTTTCAGAACATATATAATTCTGGGGTATTTAAGTACTTTTTGGCCTAAACTGTGCATTATAACATGTTCAAAAATGTTCTGGCAGCGAAAGTTTAAAAGTGTATTTCCACCTACAGTCAAATTTGAGAAAACCCATCTAGATGTTTATGTGCTCCCATTTACACAGTATATCTAAACATTGTTTTTCAAAATATGGTTTTTACCTTTCAGCTGTTTCTTTGGTGAAGGCCTTTGTGCAGATTCCAGGCTACTCTGAGCAGTTTGAAAGTGACAGTAGAGGGAAAAACTGAGCTTCTTGTCATTGACATACAATGCTCTTAAGTCTTTAACCCTTTGTTAGGACAGACCGTGTTCTCAGCTAGTTTACAACTGATCATGAGATCCACCAGCACAGTACAGAGAGGGTTAGCGTAAACGTTAACATTACGCAGGCTAGGTAGGATTTTAAGCAAGTATATATTAGCACTTAATGTAAGCAGCATTTTTTTATGGTAAAGTTATGCATTGTGAATGAGTACATATAGCAAATTTTAACTGTTATCCCACTTTGGCTGTGGAAGTGGAACTACGCTTTAACATAAAGCTTTGGTTGCATTGCCTCATTTCAGATTTTGGTAGTATTAATGGCTCTTTTTTCTGTGATCTTATGGTTATAGGAAACACAAATACCTGAGCTTCTGGAGGCAGGATTCAAGAATGAAAATATCAGCACCACAGTGATGGACCTGATTCCCCCTGAAGAATGTAGATACTACGCCTTCCCTAAGATGATAACACCTACCATTGTAAAGGTCTGAGAAGACAAAGGCCCAATTTTTATGAACCCTTGTAGTGGGTTTATGAACCCCGCACTTCAAGGGTTAACTGTTGTTCAATATAAAAAAAAGTTACTCACCCGATCCTCGGAGCTGGCCAGCTGTCACGGCGCTTCCTCCTGCTTCTCTCTTCCTCCACTGCAACAATGGTATGTCCCTCAGCATCCTTACGTCGTATACACTGTGTATAGAATGTGATGACTCAAGGATCCTTAGACTGCTACAGTGGAAGGGGAACGAGGCTGAAGGGACCAGTTTAAAGCTGGCCATACATCTATAGATTATCTGCAGATTTTCTATGGTCAGATGGAAAAAAAGTGCAACAGATTCCTCCATCTGTTGCACTTTTTCCATCTGGCCATAGAAAATCTGCAGATAATCTATAGGTGTATGGCCAGCTAAGAGCGGGCTGGCTCCAAGGATCCGGTGAGTAGAACTTTTTTTTTTTTTTTTTCGAACCTTCACAAAAATGAGCAGTTAACTTGCAGTGCAGGGTGGCCCCACTGCAAGGGTTAACAAAAAGTTGTTCCAGAGTTCTGCTTTCAGCCGGCTATACACTGCTCGAATTTTGCACAAATCCTTCTGACGTAGCTGGAATTTGAACAGTGTGTGGCCCTGTTGGCATCACACTGTTTGACAATAGTCATTTTTTGATCGACTTTTGTTGACAGAGCCAGGCGCCAAAAATTGCCAGCTGAAGATCGACTGCAGCCAATCAGTTGGCGGGAGGGCACCAGCAGTCAGAATACATAGCCCAACAGACCCCCACCCCCATCCATTCTGTGAAGTGTGGATGGGGAAAATCAAACATTTCCCTTGCGGGCTGAATGAGAAAAAAATGACTTTTTGCACCCTAGGTATTTTACCATTCTAATGTGAATTTATGTGAGTGAATGTGGAATAAAATGAATTGCTTTACATTCCAGGTTGTCCTTTTGTTATAT